CATTATATTCTATTAAAAAAGGTATAAAAAAAAGCCAATAATTCTCACAATAAAATAATAATTTCATTCTCACATTCATTATTTTATTTATTCAAATAGAAATATAAACATGGCAATGGAAAGTGATATATATTTGAATATTCCACAAAGAACATTTATTAATGAAAAATACTTATTGGAAGCAATCACTCATAAAACATACGCACAAGAAAATTTACTGACAGCTGGTCCATATAACGAAAGATTAGAATTGTTGGGTGATTCTGTTATTAGTTTTTTGGTAATTGATTATTTATTTGAAAAATTTCCCGATTATAGTGAAGGAAAATTAACTGCTATAAAGTCAAAACTAGTTTGTAAAAGATCTTTAGCAAAATTTGGATTTTCGATAGGCCTGCCAAATTTGTTGAGATTGGGAATTGGTGCTTTAGCTGAAGGTTCTAGATACAAAGAAAAATTTATAGAAGATGCGTTTGAAGCATATATTGGCGCTGTATTTTTGGATTGTGGTAAAAATTATAAAGAAGTAGCAGAATATTTGAGACAATTCCTGGATCCAGCCATAGAAGAAATAGCAAGTAAAGAAACCACGGAACAAGAAGAGATTACTGAAATAACCCAAAAATTAAACGGAATTGGACCTATCGATTCGAGTATTTCTAATAAAGATTATCTGGACCCTATCAACAAATTACAAACTTGGTCTCAACGTAGAGGTTTAGGAATACCATCGTACAAACCAGTAGATGAACTAGGTATCACAAATTCAGTTCATAATCCTACGTTTGGTTATGAGGTTATGCTGAATGATGAAATTATTGGTAAGGGGGATGGAGGTAATAAGAAAGAAGCGAAAAAAAAAGCTGCTATAGACGCACTAAGAAATCATCTGAAACTCTCAGTAGATGACAATATAGCTGAACCCATTAACACTCTACAAATCTACTTTCAAAGAAGGGGAAGTAAAATTCCCGAATACAAGGAAATTAATGCCTTTAATTTTAAACCTAATCCTGAATTCGAGTTTCATGTGCTTATCAACAATGAAGTTTATGGCCGCGGAACTGGCTCTAATACAAAGAATGCCAGAAAAGCTGCTGCCAGCAACGCTCTTGAGAAAATTTATAGTAATGAATCCAATTATTCTGATAATCCATTTATCAATGATACAAATACCATTACGTGCTTATAACAGAAGGAGAGGGAATGATCGTGATAATAATAATGAAAAATTAATTAATTATTATTTTATATATATATATATTTATATGTATATTTATAAATTATAAATTATATATTTTGTATGTAAATTTTGTAAGTTAAATTTATTTTTTTGGAATTTACTCATAATCCATATTTTTATTATTGATTAACTAATAATTTATATATATACTTTTTAATAATATTTATTAAGAAGATAAAATTATCATTAATATTTTAATATTAAGATTACAAAATATATACGTTCCACTTCCTCTTTCCTACTAATTATCAAAAGATATTTACAAACTTTCCATTTTCTTTCATTCCCCCTTTAAATAATAATCAATTAAAAGATATCATCAACACACACGTATAAAAAAAAATTCTTTGGAAATTAAGAAACCTATATTTTTTATCAAAATTTAAGCAACATAATTTATATTATAAAAAAGCTTAATTTATTCTATTTATCAAATTAAGAGAAATACAAATCACAAGTAGATTTTATTATTCATTCATGATCCCAACTTTATTCTTATGAATGAACTATTGGTATTTGTGATTTGTATTTTGATTACATTGATAGGGAGAATGAGTTAGTTTTTTTTAAAAATATTTTTATGGATTATTTATTATTATTTTAATATACTAAAAAAACTTTTCTATAAATAAAGATTAACAGTGCAGTACTTATACAATAGTAATAGACATTTACCCTATTTCTATTGTCCACCCCTAATATATTAAATATCAGCATGTTTAAAAAATTTTCAGAAACCACATAATAGAAGTTATATCAGAGAACCAAAAGATCTTAGATTACCGCATATAAAAATTTTGAAGCGTATTATTATGTATATACATCAATTTTTTTTCAAAATTATTTTTTAATTGATAAAGTTCTAAAAAATCCGGGAACGTGGGATTTTATATGCATAATCTTCAGATTTGGGTTTTTAGGTGCTCAACAATTTAAATTTTTTTCTTAACACGCCGTATATACATGTGTAACTTTTTTTAAAAGTTGTTTTTAGTACTCTATTCCTGATCGCATGTTGTCCTTATTATTATACTTAATTTCTGTAGCACATACTCTATTGCATTCGATCATACTTGGCAACTTTTTTTGTCTAGATCAATATTTATTCCATTCTATTTTTTTCTTTAGTTATTTAATCTAACTTTCGCAACTCAACTTTGACTAAAATTTTCCAATTTACATCATTATATATTATTATAAATACCAGCAGAGTTAATCAAATATGAAATAGGCACGTGAGGCTCAGTAATAAATGAATGAAGAACAAAGACATTGTTTTTTTTTTGCTGGTAAATAATAGCACGAGTCCGGACGTTTCTGGAAGCGGCGGGCATTGATCGCTCCTTGCCTATGATGTTCCGGGAAAACTTTTCATTATTATGACTCTCTCTAAAACATGAATTTAGGAGTTGGTCAAAAATTAGCCAAAATTTTTACCAAAAATTTGTTGGGAAAAGAAGAGGATTTGCCAATTCATCAAATACCTATATATGATAAACTCCTGCTTTAATTGCCTGCGAGAATGGTTGTTATCGCGTCCAGGAGTACGGCAGAGATGATGATAGTCGTACTGGTCCAGGCTCGTTGTTGTGCGGATAGTCATTACCATGTTCAGGAAGAAGAAGATTATTATGTCCAGGAAGAAAATAAAATGAAGATGGTTGTTATTATGTCCAGGCTCATTGTCCTTCACCCCTTTTGATTAATCATTATTACCAACGTTTACATACATCTAATTCTACAACATTTTTTCTTAAGCTTATCAATAATATCGCTGTAATTGTCATCACGATCAAAATTTTTTATGTAACTTGCCGAAGCGAAAATATGCGTCGTGTATTGATTTTTTTTTCAAAACAGCTCATCATTTCATTTTCAAATTCAAAGGAATTTATCATGGTTTCTATTTTCTTTTTTGTCTTAGTATTGACAATTCAAGAAATCAACATTGTTGCATATGTGACACAGACAAAGCGCGTGTGTATATTTTCTCAATTAACTAACATCTTTCGCACAAACATACATGATGCTATTACTATCTGCTTTTTTTAGTGCTGATTCATTCAATGTTTTTTTCAACTGTCTATCTAGCATTGTTGGCAAATTTCACTTTTTTTTCCTTGAATAACTTTTGGTACGAAAGAAGAACCATTTGAATTCGTGTAATAGTAAAGAGACCAAATGATGATTCTTTTACCCCAAAAAAGTTCTTTTTACACAGATTGTGGAAAATCGTCCATTCCTAGAGTTCCCGACGTAGTCTTTATTATTTACATTTGTATTTATATTTATCCTGAAAATCCCACAAATACCTCCTTTCTTGGCCAAAGTAAATTTATTATGTTTATCTAGGACGGTTGGTAATGATGGTACATATTTTTTATAATATATATACAAATGTTCTTAACTTTGAATAAAGAAATCAGGCAATCTGAGTTTTAAATAAAGCGAGGATCAAAGATGTTTTGATAATGATGACGTTGATTAATAATCGTAATAAATAATAATTGTTTGATTAAAATGATCAAAATCATTTTAATTTTTTTCCTGAAAAAAAGAATACTTTGTTTCCCTTTATTTTTTATTTTTATAAAGGTTTTTTTTTTAAAAAAAAATTATTTTTTAATGTCAAGAAGTTCAAGAATTGGTAATGGTAGAGGCGGTGGTGATGATGGCGGCAATGGTATTGGTGGTAGCAATGGTTTCAATGATGCGGAGGATGATAATAATAATAATGGCTTGATAGGAGGTGCCTTAAATTCAATCTTTAAAACAAAAAATTTAGTTTTCAACAAAACCAAAATCTTGAATTTTACACCAACTTGGTTACAAGTACCTGTAAGCTATATTTACCGAGTTTCTAATAAATATCAAATACTGAGAGATTTAACTTTTATTTGGGCCGCTTTATTTGCTATACCATTATTCGCATTCATTGTTTGGACAATTGGATCTTTATCAATTACCCTTATCATATGTAAAATATATATATATTTATGTGTTAATATATATATATATATATATACTCCTTACTAATCTATATGTATAAATTATAGGGCTTTTTACATATTTTGTAGTAAATATTATAACAATCGGAACTGGATTCTTGATTCTTTTACCAATTGCAGCAATCACTTTCTTTACATCAATAATTGTCACAATAGTCTATACAGCATTAAAATGGATATATTATTCCGGAAAGCAATTTTACACTTTCATAATGACCTTTCTTAGGAATCGTTATAATCTTCCTTCATTTAATATTCTTCAAGATAATACTACAAGAGAGAGAAGAAATCCAACCAACAATAACACTATTACCACCAACAACAACATTATTAGCTCCTCCTCCTCCTCCTCCTAGAATTGAAAATACTAACTTACTACAAACTTTGCCATCTCCACCACATTCTAATAATAGAATTTGTCATCTATCTGAATCTCCAAGATCTATTACTAGTGCTAGTACTGTTAGTGCTATCTCCAATAGTCATAATAATAATAATAATACTCCTAATATTAATAACAACAATACTATTGATGCATCAACAATTTTATTAATAGTTTTTTTTGTATATCTTATTTTATTATTTCATTATTTTATTCATTTTTACGATACCTTATAGTAATAGTAATAATATCTTATTTTTTTAATAAATATTTGTATGTGAATTGTAAAAACAATTTTTGATTTTCTCTCTAGGATTGTATAAAAAGAAAATCATTTTTAGCAAAATATAATATTCATATAATATAATCATTCATTTACTATCCCTAATTCATCATCAGAGTCTTCAATTATTTCTGGTGATTTATACTTTCGTTGTGGTGGAGACTTCTGAAACCTATTATAAAGTTCACAAACAATTTCTTTTTTGTGCCAATCATCATAATAATATAATAAGTAATAGTTATTTAATTTAAAACAAAAGATAACATGAAAGGTATTGTTATTGTCGCATACCAGTAAAGGTTTTGGATGAAAAATCTTGAATTGTATATTTTAATCGACGCCACCTCTCATGTAAGTATACTTGTGTCCTAATTATATAATTAATAAATTAGCATGTGTAAATTATTGTGTTAAAATAAACTGGTAGATTGTTTACTTTACCAAGGACCCCATTCATCATCATTCAATGATTCCCAATTAAAAGAATACTCTTCCTTTTGCTTTGATTGGTATAATCTTATAATTTTAAATAATTTTAATTTTAAGTGTAAAATTATAATTAAAGAAAAGATCATATGAATATTAATATTCATACTTATTAACAAGGATATAACTATCTTCACTACACCATTTTGATATCTCTCCCCCTTTCTCCATTTCATATATAAGACGTAACTTTCTTCCCCTAAATGAATTATATATATATAACAAGTAAATTTTTTTCTTTGTTATCGATCATCCATGCTTTAAAACAATCATATAAGACCCAATCAAACATACCATTTTTCACGACATTGCTTAGGAGATCGTTTTTTCCCCATTCTTTCTGAAACTATATCCCATGGTATTCCATAATCTAATGTTATTTCATCTTTATATCTTGTTACAATATCAGTAACAATAAGTTTTAATTGATCTTCTTCTTCTTTAGTCCATTCACCTATCATCACCATCATTTATTAAACAAATCAAACAAATTATCAATTTCCAAATTTTCAAAATAATCATATATACACTTTTTTTTAATTCGTTTAATTTATAAATTAATTAAATATATTTTTAATAATCAACCAACCTTTTCTAGGATTTCGATTACTAATAGAACCATAATCTCTCCATCGGTCACGACATTGAGTACCCATACGTCCCAACTCTGATCCAATTGTTGTCCAATCTTTACCATGAATTGCTACTAATCTAAAATTTTAAATAAAAATATTGTGATAAAGCCCAAATTACATAACAAATATAAAA